AAATTAGGCGGTATTAGTTCGATATGGTACGGTTCAAATATTGGGTTGTCTTTGTGGGTTCTAGAGGATGCCAAGAAACAAGAATGGTCTAGACGTGATTTCTGTCGTCCCATAGATTGTGAGGTTCCCGCACCCCTCGCTGTCGTTGGAATGACTGTGACGGGTGAAATTGTTTTGACGATGAAATCTACATATAAACCGTTTTATGTTTTCTACTTCAATCCTGAAAAGAACACCATCGAAAGAGTTGAAATCCAAGGTTTTGAAACGTCCGAGACTCGTCGTAAAGTTTACACATTTGTAGACCATGTCGATGATTTCAATTTTATAGATTCTAGCTAGTTTTTTTTGCTGTTAGTGTGGCTTCTTATCTACGAGTTTTGTGTATGCTATAGATATAACTTTGTTGGCTATTCATTTTTTTCCCCTTTCTTGTCAATATCATCTACACGCCCTTAATTAATTGTGTTACACCTTTGGAGAGCAACATAAATGCTTTGCTCCCACGCAACTTCCGTTTTCATTAAACTCTTTTCATATAAGATTGATATTCTAGTTTAAAAGTTCTTTAAAACCTCTGCGTTATTCTTGTTTCTTTGTTTTTAATTAAAGAAAGTACTAGATGACACCTAAAAAATTGCGGCTTTAATCTCAAATTTAAGCAAAATCGTAGGATTAGTGTTTTCATTTTACACAATATAAACTTCAACCTCTTTTGGCATAAGTGGAAAGTCGATTGAAAAGGATCCTCACTATGTTATATAAATTGATATGTTTTGCTGCGGTAGAAATTCTGATGACTTTTAAGATTTAGCATATCCTGAAAAATGGCCACGATCAATGGCGCCGATTAATCAACATGTGGAACTTGGTCAATTATTTTGGGGGATAAAATGACAAAATTGCAAATAGAAGAGAAGGTCGTGAGCTTTCTTCTTGAACAAGTTATCATCAAAGCCCAACACACAACCGTGTCCTGGCTCTCTTGTCCCGTGACATAATAAAAACAATAAATGGAATAATCAGAAATACACTGTCGCTACATACTGAGCAGGCCTCATCTGATTTCATATTGTCCAAGTCCATATATTCACAAGATAAACTCGGCATTAAGGAAAAATTACTTTAATTTCTTGAATTGGAACCTTGTTCACATGCTCCACTTAAACATGCTAATAGAAAATCTTGGCTTCTGGATGCAAAGTGTGGTTCCCTAATTTGTAGAACAGTTGATCCACGGTATCGATTCACATTCCGTATACGTAAGATGTGAAGTGTCAATTATGCATGCATGTCTCGTATTCAAACAAAAAAATAGTGGGTTGTGAAATGTAACTTTTTTCTATTTATTAATTGTGCTTAGTTGGCAACAACAGTAAAGCACATATAATACAATGTTTAGCAGTTTTCTTTGCGTTTCTAATATGTTTTAGAAGTTAGATTTGATAATTAAGTTGATTTTAATAATAGTCATCCAAAGGCATGTACAACAGGTGATATAGATCACATTAGCATTATTGTCACTACTCAGTCGCCAAGTTTCGTCTTGCATCCAAATTCTGCGCGTCCTTACTTGAGAGCTGTCATTTCACGGAGTTATTCCTGACCAGGTCTTCGGCTCGGCCACGTCTCTTATTCGCCTTCAAACGAGACCATAAGTGTCACTTGTACTTGTCGCCTCAGCTTCAAAACCGGGATGAAAATTCGTTTCCTGTAGTAGCCACTCATACTCATATGCAACCTCCTGGAGACGTGTGCTTAAAGATATGTGGCCCCGCCTCCGGTTTGATCTATTTCCCACACGTGCGTTTTTCAAGACGAACATTACCAAAGTGTCGGTGATATATAGCCCTAGCACGGGACAGTACACGAGCTTACTCACTACGAGGAACTCTCTCTGTCGGCTTGTGGGCCCGTCTGCCGGTGCGTTATACTGACCAATCATTATATGATTTTTTTTCGTGTTTTGGCCTCACTTACACAGTTTTGGGAATCATTTCTCAAAAGATCACCCATATTAATTCTATTACAGCTCAAACACACTTAACTGTGAAGTTCTCTTGGGACCAGTAACCGAAAAGATAAGTGCACTTCGGTGACATAAGTAGTCAAATCAATCCATTTAAACTTATTCAAATGGGCCAGATCCAGGTTGTTACAATTCTCCCCCACTAAACGGAAATTCGTCCCTGAATTCTGATCCGACAGTGTGAGCCATAACCCACAAACCCTAGGACAATCTCCTGGGACAGAACCAGTTTGACTTCCCATGTTCTGATATAAATTGTAACGCCCCCAACCGTCCCTACAGGCCAGTCACCTATCCCTCCGTCGGGCTTGTGGGCCCACCCCTCCTGTGCTTTATTTTTTCTGGAGCCCAACCGACTTATTTACTGACCTCCTGCAATCACAACATGATCTTTCCCCGTGTTTTGGCCTCACTCACACAGTTTCGGGAATCACTTTCCGAAAGGTCACCCATCCTAGTCCTACTACAGCTCAAGCACCCTTAACTCTGCAGTTCTCTCGGGACCAGTGATCGAAAAGATAAGTACACTTTGGTAACATAGATAGCCAAATCAATCTATTTAAACTTATCGAAATGACCCGGGCCCAAATCGTTATAATCCGATTGATAAAAGAATCAAGGTATTGTCCAATAGCCGCCTTTATATCATGGTGATGATGAGAAGAATCAAATTCTGACGTTAGGAACCGGAAAAGAGTTGTGGAGGAAGGTTGAGTGTCGATTCCATGATCCTTTATCTGAATCTGAAGGGATATGCATCAGTGGGGTTGTGTATTACTTTGCTCTCACACGTGATGAAAACCCTTACGTGAATATTCTAGCTTGCTTTTGATGTAAGGTCCTAGAAACTTTGGTTTGTACCCATTCCTTTTTAGCCAACTAAACTGGTCAATTACAAAGGTAAATTAGGTGCGATTGATTCGGAATGGCATTATGATAATGAATTTGATGGAAGGCACGACGTCAAGTTGTGTTTGTGGGTGCTAGAGGATGCTGAGAAACAAGAATGGTCGAAACGCACTTTCTCCTTGGAACTAGTCTTTGAGGATCCAAAGGCTGATGCTCTCGTCGATGTGGTTAAAGTGACTTCTGCAGGTGAAATTGTTTTCTCGATGAACTGTACATCTAAAACGTTTTATGTTTTCAACTTCAATCCCGAAAAGTAGACTCTCAAAAGAGTTAAAATCCAAGGTTTTGTATCCTCTGGTAAGCCTAGAAGAGTTCATACATTTGTTGACTATGTCGTGGATCACAAGTTTATATAACATATAAGAGTCGAGCTACTTTGGCTGTTAGTGTGACTTCTCTCATCTACAAATATGTAGCGGATCACTTTGTTGGCTATTCATTCTTTTCTTTTCTTTTCTTTTCTTTCGGGTCATCGTTTACATTCCCTTACTTATGTTACTCACTTTTACTTGAGAGAGAAAAATAATGCTTTGCTCCCATGGGCATCGTTTACATTCCCTTACAATTGGGTTTTCCTCAGATTCTATAAATGGATACGTTCCCTTTGCTAATCATTGCCATGGATCTAAGGGAATGTAAACGAAGGTTCATGGGAGCAAAGCAAAGGGAATGTTGATGAAGGATAGTTGCTCAGATTCTATGAATGGATACGTAATTCCCACAAATCTTGATGAATAGTATTTTTCTTAATCCTCTTCCTCAAAAATAGTATAAAAAGTTTAACTATGGTTAGCGAGGTACTGTTGTTGATTTTGTTGTTTTAATGGCACTGTAATGTTGTTCAACTATGGTCAGAGTTTTAGATATGTTCTTTGTGTTATGTTGTTTCATTATCGGATAATCTGCTTGCAATGATAAGTGAAACGGACATGGAACGGAGTTTTTTTGTTTGTTTACAGTTCTTGAGTCCTCACTCTTATTGTCACTGCTCAAGGCTGTGTGTGATGAATATACATTTTACTTGTGATTCATATTGGACTAGTAACATGTTCGTTTGGCAGCCGCAGGACCTGCAGCTGCGGAAGCGTTAAAAATTGTTGTTCGTTTGGTTGCCGCAGATACCTGCCATAAATCGCTGCAGCAGACGTAGGTAGCTGCATTTAAAAATTTTGAACGCCAAGAAAAATCAGCGGCACGGTTATAATTTGTGGCTGCGGCTACGACCTGCGGTTAATTGTTGTTTGTTTCGTTGCCGCAGGTACTTGCGGTTGCGACTGCGGCTATAACTTGCAGTTGGACTATGAAACAAACAATAATTTATTATTGCGGTAGCGGCTGTGTTTATAACCTGCAGCTACGATTACAAAACGAATAACAATTTATTGTTGCAGCAGCGGCTGCGACTACAAAACGAACAACAACTTGCAGCAATATTATCTTGCCCCTACCTCTGCCGCTATCGCCTGCGGCAACCAAACGAACAGGGATAGATTAGTGCTAGAGCATTTTAGTGGGCGTCGAATTTGTTATTTGATGTGTTTAGATTCATGCCAAGAAATCAATCATATATCTACGTTATCAAAATTAATTGTATGTGTTTATGTTTCTTTTTTTTTGTTTTTTTAACATTATGTGTGTTTATGTTTTGCCTTCAAGTATTAAGTTTGCTGTGTCCTGGATCTTTAATGGTTTGTTTTTATTATTAGCAATTGAAGAATTATAAAATTTAAAAGAATTATATATCACTATATAAAAATGTATACGACAAGAATAAAATCGCTAACGGCTATATTAATTGGAGTCTAAGGAATTTATCAGATCTTTTAATGATCCGATCACATTAAGATTCTCCCAAAAAGGAAATCAAACCTAGGCAGTGGCAACAACAACAAACATTTATATATACCCAACCCTAAGCCTTGTCCTTTTCACTATTCACGATTTCACTTTCACACGCTAGTCCCAAAAGGAAATCAAACCTAGGCAACAACAATCCTAAACCTTTCGTCCGCTTCACTTTTGATTATTTCACACGCTAGTCCCTTCATCTTCTTCTTCGACAATGGATTCTTCTTCATCTTCTTCTTCGACAAGTAAGAACGCCAAGTTGTCTGTGAGAAGCAAACCCAGTTTCAAGAAATCGGCTTTCTCTGCCGCAAAGAAAATCACGAACTTGGCCATGAGAGAACAGACGATTCTCAAGAAAGCTTCCGAGCTTTCGACTCTGTGCGAGATCCAAGCGTGTGTAATCCATTACAGCCGCGACGGAGAACTCGTCAACACATGGCCCGAGGATCAGTCAAAGACTCAAAGGTGCGAGATTTAGCCGAGAGGTTTAGCAGACTAAGCGATAAAGAAAAGCTCAAGAAAAGCTCCAACCTTTCGCAATTCCTAAACAAGAAGATGAACGATGTGAAGAAGAGATCTCTCGAGGGTTCTCGAGGGTAAAGACGACAGCAAATTCGAACAGAAAGTCATGGAGATTGAAGCTTCTTTGGAAGATACTCTACGGATATTACAAGACAGGGCTGGTCTGGTTCTTGACCTTCAGGATCATCAGACCGGGCCAAATTCGTTGAATCAATATCCGAGCAGCAACTTCTCAATTCCTCCTGCTGATGTAACCACGTCTTGTTCGTTGAATCAAGATCCGAGCAGCAACTTCTCAATTCCTCCTGCTGATGTAACCACGTCTTATTCGTTGAATCAAGATCCGAGCAGTAACTTCTCAATTCCCCCTGCTGACTTAACCACGTCTTGTTCGTTGAATCAAGATCCGAGCAGCAACTTCTTAATTCCCCCTGCTGATTTAACCACGTCTTGTTCGTTGAATCAAGATCCGAGCAGCAACTTCTCAATCCCTGCTGATTTAACCACGTCTTGTTCGTTGAATCAAGATCCGAGCAACTTTTCAATTCCTGCTGATGTAACCTCGTTGAATCAATATCCGAGCAACTTCTCACTTCTTTTGTATAACCATGACGATGGTACTTTCACTCAATTGCCGAACTCTGCTCCTCCAAGCTTTGAACAGCCTCCGATTCCGTACTATAATCAAGACTCGAGTTACTTGGATTTGTTACTTGCTGAGGAAGACATGAGAAGCTGCAACAACTCTGTTCTTACACCATCTATCGGGTTCCCAACAATGTTGATCTCTTAGATCTTTCTCCAACAACTGATTGATGTTTTGACTGAGTCAACAAATTTTATTTTCTTTGTATTCGCTCCTATTAACTACTAATTTTGTAAGTGTCCGATAAGCCTAAATGTTAAATATGAGACTTTATATCCAAATCTTGGCTCTATTTCTTTTCTTTTACTCTTTTTTTTTTCTTTCACATTTGTTAAATTTGAGTGTACAAAACAAGAGGAGATAAAAAAAAGTTTGTCTATTTCATGACAAGAATACAATGAGGAGATAAAAATGTTTGTCTGTTTCAAAGTGTTTCGATGATTATAAAATTCTATATTAATTGCATTAGGAATAGGAGCTCCGCTTCGCGAGGTTAATGCAGTATATAAAAAGATTAAACATAAATTTATTAAAAATAATTATAAGTAAAATATATAAAATAAAAAGTAATAATAAAAAATTTAAACATCCAAAATAACTTATTATTATTAAAATAAAATGTATTTTTCATATTTTTTTAATTATTAACAATAAGTTCTAAATAGAAATATAAAAACTAATTATGATAAACATATGTAAAATTTTACAAAATTTTTTAGGATTTTTATTACTAATTATTAATAGAAAAAAATAAAAAACTGAAAAATAATAAGATACACAACTTTTTAAGAGTGTTAAAAAAGTTATATACGAAAATATAAAATATAAATATGCAATTTTCTATTTGTATAATTATTAAAAATTTGTATTCGCTCAAAAGTGTAAAGTTAAAAATAATTATAGAGACAATCTTTCAAAAATGTTTTTATAAAACTATACATTTACTATGGAAAAGTTAGAAAAAAGAATTATAATACAAATTTGTTATTTTTAAAAAATACTACAGGAAATATATATAATAAAAGATGATGTAACGAGATTTTATAATACATTTTCTAAGACTACTATAGTTTCTAAGAAGATTCACAGTATTAAAAAATACATTACAAATATATTAGTTAAAATAAAAAACTTTGATACCTTAAAAATACATATATAAAATATATGTGAATTTATTACATTACATAAGTATATTTCTCTGAATTTTTAAAAAAATTCAAATATTAAGTACCTTAAATTTATAAACAACTAACAAAGAATATTAAAATTTAAAAATAACACAATTAACTATAAATATATAGATATTTTCATAAAAAAATTCAATAACATAATATATATTAGTAAACAAAATACATATAATTTCTTGAATAATAAAAATATTATTAGATTTTGGTTGAATATATTTTATTTTTCTGATGTAATACATATAAAACAATTTTGTAATGAAACTGCTCATATTTTAGCTAAAACTGAATCCCCAAATAGAATCTTTTACTCAAATTCAATATCTGAACCTCCATGACTTTTAAACACTTTGTATCCTGATAAGTGATAACATGTTATGATAAATAAATATGTTTACAATAACAAAAAAAACCCACCATAGTAAGAAAGTAAAAGTTACACCCAATGATTATTTTTCTTTGGTTTTGAGCAATATAAATAGTTTTGAAAATATATAAATAACAGTTGTGATGGATAATGAAAAGATAGAACCATTTATAATGAAAAGACGCAACCACAAATTTTGAAATGACATAACTTTTTAAAGTGTAAATGACATTTATTCGGATTGTTAACAAAAAAATAAATAACATTACATATATTAGTAAACAAAACACATATAATTTTTTTATAATAAAATATCATTAGATTTTGGTTGAATAAATTTTTTTTTCTGATGTAATGCATGTAAAACAATTTTGTAATGAAACTTATCATATTTTAGCCAAAATTGAACCCTGAAATAGAATTTTTTACTCAAATTCAATATCTGAACATCCAATACTTTTAAACACTTTATATCCTGATAATATGTTATGATATATAAATAAGTTTGCGATAAAAAAAAATCCTCACTATAGTAAAAAAGTTAAAGTTAGATCCAAATGATTATTTTTTGTGGTTTTGAGCAATATAAATAGTTTCGTAAAGACACAAATATGAAATAACATTTGTGATGAGAAAACACAATCATTTATAATGAAAAAGATGCAATCATTTATAAAGACCCAACCACAAAATTTGAAACGACATAATTTTTTAAAGTGTAATTAGCATTTATTCAGATTGTTTACGATAAAAAAATCTACCATAGCAAGAAAGTAAAAGTTGGACCCAAATGATTTGTTTTCTGTGGTTTTGAAAAGTATAAATAGTTTTGAAGACACAAATAACAATTATGATGAAAAAAAGTAACTATTTATAATGAAAAGATGCAACAATTGATAATGAAAAGATACAACCACAAATTTTGAAACGATACAACTTTTTAAAGTGTAGATAGCATTTATTCAGAGTGTTAACAAAAAATAAATAATATAATATATATTAGTAATAAATATCATTAGATTTTGATTGAATATATTTTATTATTTTCTGATGGAATGCATGTAAAACAATCTTGTAATGAAACTGCTTATATTTTAGCCAAAATTAGACCCCAAATAGATTTTTTTTTTACTTAAATTCAATATCTGAACCTCCAGGACTTTTAAACATTTTGTATTCTGATAATATGTTATGATAAATAAATAAGTTTGCGACAAAAATACTCCCACTATAGTAAGAAAGTAAATGTTATATCCAAATGATTTTTTTTTTCAGTGGTTTTGAGCAATATTAATAGTTTTGAAAAGATACAAATTATAGTTGATGAAAAAATGCAACCATTTATAGTGGCTCCGATTGGTAACACATTTTTTATATCGCGGAATTGCGGAATGGCGGAAAAAATGAATTGCAGAATAATTTATTACAGAATTGCGGAACTTTTTTATATACGATTGAATAAATTATGGCAGAATTGCGGAATTGCAGAATATACTTATTGAAAATATTCTGCTTTTTACTATATATTATAAAAAAAAAAATATTAATAATTCAATCAATTATTATAAAATGATATAATTCTAATTGTAACTTTTTAATAATTTGTTAAAAATAAAAAAATATTGCAAACCTTAAATAATAGATATAACTTTATCATTAAATAATTTTTTGTCACACTAAATTATTTATTTATATTTATTTAAATAATAAAATATAATTAGTTATATTATTGAATAATATAAACATTGATTCCGCAAATAATCTACTCCAAACACGCTTTTCCTCTTAATGAAGATTTCTTTGTATTTTATGTAAGCAAACACGCGATTCTGCAGATCTTGCGTTTTTCCGCAGGTTTTTTTGACTAGCAAGATTCTTGCGTTTTCGGGTTTTTCCACCATTCCATCATTCCACAAGTGTTACCAATCAGAGTGAAAATATGCAACTATTTATAATTAAAAGAGTCAACCATAAATTTTGAAAATACTCAATTTTTTAAAGTGCAATTGACAATTTTAAAATCTACTACATATTATTTGAGAAGTAACATTATTGAAAATAACTGACTTGTCAACACTACAGCCAAAGTTAGTGTTTTTAATTGATGACATGTAAATGTGACATGTCAAACTTCCTAAAAGAAATGAAATATTTTGATTGGTTGAATTAAAATTTTAGAAATTGTGGAAATAAAACATAAATAAACTAGATTATATTTATAACACTAAAATTAACTAATTTAAATTAACAAAAATAAAAGTTATTATAATTTTAATTGTTTACATATATTCATAATTTCATAAAATATAATTACGAAAAAATTTCAACAATATATATATATATTATAATTTCATATAAAACGAAAACATAATACTAAATTATCTAATAGAATAATAAAAATTCTATTTATTAATAATACTTGAAGTATGATATATTTTTATTTTGGAAAGTTATTAATTTACAAAATATATTAATAACATCTAAACAAGTTTTAAATAAACAAATTATTAAATAATACAATTTTAAATAAAATACAATCATGATAAAAAATAATTTAAAGAATAGAATGTTAAAAATAATAAAAAAATAATCAACTTTTATTGATTTTTTTTTAAAAAACGTAATTTTAAATAATTTTTCTTTTCAAACCAATATTTACTAAATGAAAAAAGTATATACTAATTATTATTTTATAATATTAATAGGACCATATATTTTTCTATAACTTTTATCATCTTTTTATTGTTGTTTTCTAAAATGTACATAACTTATCTTACCATCTCATCTTATCTCTTATCATACTTTAAATAAAAATAGATTTTATATCATATATATAAATTTATATTCATTGTATATTAAAATTTTGAGAACATAAATAAAATAAAAAATAGCCAAACGAAAGAATAAATTATAATAAAATGAGATAATATGAATAAAAAATAAAAATAGAAGTATATAAAAATAATATGTTGCACTTTATTTTAAAAAGTCACTTAAAAACTTTTTAACACCTAAGAGCCATATTTCAATTTTTTTTACAAATACGCGTACAGACATAAATATTAATTGTACATTAGTTGCAGTCACATGCGAACTTTTCTGTGTATGTATTTTGTTAAGATTGATTACAGACTAATTTTTGTTTTAATTATTATATAATTTATATTTTTTAAAAAATATTTATCTATTCTAAGTGTAGTGAAGTGGTTGGTATGTCCGCACATGCGTGCCAACCATCTATCCGCTCTTAAGAATAAATAAAAATGGTAAAAACTATTTCAGTTTAATTTGCAATAAATAAAAATATATACTTAAAATATATTATATATATATTTGCAAATTCATATTATGTAAGACGCAAAAAGCATATTGTAGATTGTATAAGGAGAAATAAAGCATATTATAGAAATATTCAAAAAATATTATAAAAATTTAATTATTATTTAACATAACTTTTATATTTGTGATTATATATATTATCACAAGCATTATAAAAATAATTTTTTTAAAATACATTAGTTTTTGAAAGAAGTTTATGAAATATTAAAACAATATATATACAAATATTTTAAAAAAAACTAATCAATATTTAAATA